TCTCTCTCTCTCTTGCTCTCGCGCACGCACGCCCTCTGTTGGTCGCCGCCCTCGCCCATGCCTTAGTCCTCGCGGACTAGGGCTCCGTCCCTTTCGTGCGCGTGTCGCCCATCCGGCGTGCTGCGCACGCCATTGCTACCCGCCGTGATGACGGATCGTGTGTTCACCTATACGTGGTTGCGAATAAACGACACACTGAGGCCTTCGTTTATCCCCGATAGATGTATCTAGCAGACGCACTGCGGCCTTCTCCTAGACACCGTGACTTCAAGACGCACTATTGGCCTTCTCTCCGACACTGCATGTAAAGACGCACTAATGGCCTTCTTTATCACACGTTAAGAACAAAAGGTTCCCCCTCAAAATTGGCTCACCAATTCAATACTCAATTCAAGACATCTTAATATGATGGGGTACATGGGGTATTTATAGTTGCCAACTATCTCTAGATCTAATCTCACTAGGAAACTAATAAAATATTTAAATTATAAATCCTAAGTCTAGAAAGCAATAAAATCCTAAACCTACCAAAATACTAATGCTTGGCTTGCACACCAAGCAATTCTAGAAGCTCCCTAAAATTAAAACCCTACGCATTAAAACTCTCGGCCCTCTTGCACGCCCGCCGCCTCACGCATCGCGTCGCACGTTCGCTATTCCTAGTCCTTGGCGCGCGAGGTATCACGCGCCTCGTGTGTGTTGCACGCGTGCGCCCCAGCGCGATCCCCGTCCTTGCCGCCATCGCCCAACGCGTGCATCCCTTCACGTAAGTCGCCTAATCCTCCGCAACTTAGGACTCCATCCGCGTCATCCCACTCGCGCCCTACCGCGCGCCCCTCGTTGTTGCCGCCATCCTCCCGCGCGTTCGTGCCGTTGCCCGGTACTCCCTCGCCTACGCGGTCGTGGTCAGCGCCTGCCATCGCATCGCCCGCTACGCCTATGCCTCCACGGATTAGGCGTTCGCCCGCGTCGCTGGTACTCGCGCGCCCATCGCGCGCCTCGCCCCAGCTGGCCCACCATCGCACGTCCCGATCACTTGCACGACTGCTGCCCACGTTCGACGTCCCCGTGCTCTTCTCGCGTTCGCTTGTTCCAGC